TACTTCCAAACTTTGTTATGCACACATGGCTTGAAAATTTTGTAACATCCTGCTTCTCTGGTTTGTCTTTAATTATGTCATAAAAAAATTTGTCTCAATAATTCGAGTTGTTGGGAGAAGGTTATTATGAATTTTGTACTACTCTCCTACACACCCCCTCAAACGAAAATCAACTCGCTGGCTTGAAGTTTGCACGAGCCCACCATACTTTGTGCTTTAATCAACTGTTAATATTGGAGGTCGTGGAGATTCGAAAACAACCACTTGGTTAAACCAGCTCTGATACCATGTCATAAACCAGTTAGTCCTTAATAACTCTGAGTTGTTGGAAGAAGTTTATTGTGGATCTTAATTATATCACTCTCTTACGAATTATGCAGCTGAGCTACTGGGATTCGACCATTACATGCCTCCCTTTCCTGTAGCCAGCGGGTTGGAGGTACTGAAGGGAGTGAACTACGCATCGGCGGCTGCCGGCATACGGGAGGACTCCGGGGAGGAACTGGGAGGAAGGATACCCTTCGGCGGCCAAGTGGAGAACTACAAGAAAACGGTGTCGCAGATAGAGAAGTTGCTTGGAGATGGAGTCACCGCGGCAAAACACTTGAGCAAGTGCATTCACTCGGTTCTGATGGGGAGCAACGACTACATCAACAACTATTTCCTTCCAGAGTTTTTCTCCACGGCGCAGCAGTTCACCCCGCTGCAGTATGCCGACGACCTCATCCGGAGATACAACAAGCAACTCAAGGTGCGGTCGACACTCACCAAATCTATCTTGCTTGTTGTTTTCAAATCAGAATTCGGTGGAAACTATTATATATGCATTATTACTGAAATCACATAGGGTTTATATAGAGTAAAGAGACTGACTTCTATAATAATTCGAACACTAGTACGGAAATTATCCAAAGTATTTCTATTACTCTGATAAGGAAATAGTACTAGTAGTTTCATATACTACTACTAATACTCTAATATTACTATGCTACCAAATTCCATATCACGTCTTCGTGTGATGTGACAGGTTATGTATAGCTATGGCGCTAGGAAGTTCGCGTTGCACGGGTTGGGACAGATTGGGTGTTGCCCTTTTAAACTGGATGGTCCGAATGGAACAGCCTGTGTGGAGAACATCAACGATGCGGTTCAGATCTTCAACCGCAAGCTGAAATTGCTGGTTGATCAGTTGAACCAGGACACCCCGGATGCTAAGTTTATCTACCTTGACACCTATGGGATTTTCAAAGAACTGCTCGACAACCCAGTACCCAAGGGTAATTAAACCCTAGAGGGCCTTTTTTTTATTATTATACTGCACCACGAGCTCCGTACAGAAACATTGTAGTGAACGTGTTGTTTTGGTTTTTTTGATGTTTGTTTCAGGGTTCACGGTGACGAATGAGGCGTGTTGCGGGGTGGGGAAGAACAATGCTCTGCTTACATGTCTACCGTTTCAAACTCCATGCGACAATAGGAATCAGTACTTGTTCTGGGATTCGTTCCACCCGACGGATGCGGCCAACGAATATGTGTCGAGGAGGAGTTATAGGGCCGAGTCGCCAAGTGATGCTCATCCCTACGACATTAGCCGCCTCGCACAAGTGTGATGGGATTCTCTGGACATGGAGATCAACTCTTCATTTGTAACTGTAGTGCCCTCGTATGGTTAGAATTTCACTTTGCTTAAGTTTATCCGAACCGGTTTGTTGTTTGAAATCTTGACAGTCGGTTGTTATGGAAATAAATTTAGATCTAAGGAATATAATAAAGACTTTTTCATGAGGAATTTTACAATGCTTTAACATTGGTGGTTTAGTTTTTGTCTTTATGTACAACTTGAAATTGTACCTTTAACGTTATGGTACAACTTTAGGTTGTACTTATACTCTTTTGTAAAATCCCTTTATGGTACAAACTAAAGTTGTACATTTAAGTTATGGTACAACTTGAGGAAAATTTTCCACTGTACACATGTTTTTAAAAAAAATTCTCAAAATACACACGTTATGAAAATATTTCCCAATCTACGCATGTTTGGGCCTTCACCGCGTCAGACTAAGGCGGTGATTGGATCACCGCTTTAAAGAACAGCGGTGATTGCATCACCGCGTTAGAGGAAAACGGTGATTGCATCACCGCTGTAGAGGAAGGCGGTGAATGCATCACCAGTGCATCACCGCTTTAGAGAAAGGCGGTGAAGGCCTGACCTGCGTCAAATATTTAAAAAAACGTAACTTTGTGCTCGGTTATCCGATCGTGGTGAAATTTTTTTTGATTACGCATATCTTTGTGCATCACCGCTTAAGGATAAATTTTTTTTGTCTACAGTGGTGATGCAATCACCGTTTTTTCTCAAACGCGGTGATGCAATCACCGCTCTTCTTTAACGCGGTGATGCAATCACCGCTCTTAGTCTGACGCGGTGAAGGCCCAAACATGCGTAGATTGGGAATTTTTTTCATAACATGTGTATTTTGAGAATTTTTTTTAAAAACATGTGTACAGTGGGATTTTTTCCACAACTTGAAGAGTTGAAGTTGTACCACAACATAAGCATCCAATTCCCTTATGGTACAACTCTAACTTGTACCTTTATCGTTGTGGTACAACTTAAAGTTGTACTTTAAAGCACTAATACTTTAAAGCATAATAGAAAGACTCCTTTTTCATTTAATGCTTGGCTAAGAAGTTTGTAGTTGATTGTTCAGGAAATGAATCTAAATTTAAAGAATATAATAGAGGGGTGCGCCTATGGTGACATGCATGTCAACGTAATTTGCACTTTTCGATCGACCTCAGTTAGGATTAGGTCGACCTAATATGTTGTTTCAGTGTATAAACAGTTTCATGGTGCATACTTTGGAGATTGTATCTTACAATTGGCTCGATGGAAAATAGAGATTAATGACTTGTTTTGAAGCTGGAGTGTCCCTCTACACATTGAAGTGCTTGGGAGCTCGATAGGAAGTCTAGTGGGAAACTACTTGAAAATGGCTAAGTCTGAGAAAGTGTTTGTGAAGCCTACTTTGGAGCTCAATTCGAAAAGCATGGATGAGATTCGAGTCCAGTGGCCTCTACCACATGAAAGTAGGTATGTTTGTCTACAAAGTGAAGGCATTGGATGAAATATTGGATATCTGGAAGGCTTCAAACAAAAGGCTCGAAGTTGCTACGAAGTAAGTTGGCTTCTAGCACAAGACTGAAACGACAGATTAGGTCGACCTAATCCTATATGAGGTCGACCTAAAAGTGAAAGTTACGGTGACATGCATGTCACTGTAGCAAAGTCCTTCATTATTTAATAAAAAATGAATTAATTAGTGATCGATTTAACAATTAGTGTTAATATTCATGTACATTAGTTAATTGAAAATTAACAATTAGTGTTAATATGTACTTAAACTGGTTTATGAATGTTTAATTACTTAGATTAGTTAATAGAAAATTAGTTAATTAGTGGTTAATTCATAATTAGTGTTAACTAATTAGCTGTTGTCTAAATATCGAGAGTTTTTAATGAATCATTGAAATTGTTTAAAAAATATAGCTAATCTAAAATATTAGTGCGCATCTAAGTATTATATTATGTAAATTTGTAGATAATTAGATATGGATGATATGGATGGGAGTGAGTTGCCTAGATTCGATGGTAGGAATGTTGATGCATCAACACGAAGGAAGGTGCCTAAAAAGAATAAGGAAAAGAAGCGCTCTCGACAGATTGCACATCAGTCTGAGGCAGATGTAGGGGAAGATGAGTTAGAGGCTCCTACTAGGGATGGCAATAAAACCTGAACCCACGGGTATCCACCTGACCAAACCCGGTCAACGCGGGTAAAACCCGTGTTGACGGGTTTTGGGCCGGGTTCGGGTTTAAACCCGCTACACTATTCACCGGGTTGGGTTTGGGTTTAGGTAAACCCGACCAATGGGTACCCGCCCACACATATAATTACTTTCCCGGTATATTTAATATTCTAAATAATATATCTTCTTTAAACAATTAATATTATTTATTTTTGTGGAAACATGTATAATTTGTTCTTTCTAATTATTTAGAATGAAGTTGATATTATGGAGTGGAGAGTGAAGAAACTTATTTGACGAGGAAAAAGATTTTAATTAATCTTGTTGTTTATAGACGTTTATCTTTAATTTTGAACAATTTGTATTGAGCATTTGGGGTTTGCTTGTATGTTCTAGATTGGTATTTTTTGTATGAATAATTTGTATGAGAAAATTGATGTTAAACTTTTATTTTGAAAGAAATTTGTTATTGTAAATTTTTTACCACAAAAACCCACGGGTACACATGAACCCGCAGATACCCAGCGGGTTGGGTTGGGTTTGAGTTTTTCAAACCCAACGGGTTTTACCCCGAGTTTTTTTGGCGGATAAACCCATGTGTTTGGGTTTGGGTTTGACAAAACCCGCCCCAACCCGACCCATTGCCATCCCTAGCTCCTACTGTAGTTGCTCATTCGACATCACGGGAGTTTGGTTCCCATAGGAGGAACCAGTGTGCTGCATTAAGGGTGGTATCAGCTGAGTTTAATGATTAGTGCGATCCTGATGATAAGGAAAATCCTGATGAGGATACCCAGGTCCCTCCAGCCGGGCGTGGACGTGGACGAGGGCCATCTTCTCCTGCAACATCACATCCTGCTATGTACAGTGACCGAGCTGGGCGGTTCGTACCACCTGCTCGGGCGGAGACAGAGATCTCAAGGACTGGACGAAGTAGGGGAGGACAGTTGAGAGGTCCTCAACTGTGGGAGCTTACTGGTGAGTGTCCTGGTGGACCTACGGATCCTAGCCTCATTAGGTGCTTCCGTGGACACACTGCCTATGCCCTTTGGACGTGGATTGGAGACCGAGGGATCATCAGTTGCTACAGCCGTACATCGGCGGTTGACTATTTGCAGAACTACGTGTTTAGACATGTTGAGGCGGAGGATCTAATTCAGCAGTCAGGTCTACTACACCTGATCTACTCTATGTTCCGCAAGATATCGATTGACGAGGTTTTGATCTCAGCATTTGTGGAGAGATGGCAGCCAGACACGAACACATTTCACTTGCCTTTTGGAGAGATGATGATCCTTCTCCACGATGTACAGTACTTACTGCAGATTCCTGTTGAGGGACGGTTGATGAGTAGGACTTCTGAGAAGATAGAACATCCGGATGTGGGTTTTTGTGCGCTTCTTGGGATGAACTAGGACCAACTACAGGGTCGGTCGGATGCCACTGGAAATGGTAGTAGGGTTAAGTGGTACGACAAGGGTGGGTTTCTTGCGAAGATGGCGTCCAAATACTTGAAGGCGAATGGGACACACGAGACATAGGCGCAGTCGTACTTGTTGTTGCTGTTGGGGTCCACTTTGTTTGTGGACCAGCGCAGAGACGGGGTTCGACCGGTGGTGAACCTATTTTTGGAGGAGTTGGATGAGGTAGTTGAGTACAGTTGGGCATCAGGTACACTTGCTTTGGTTGTACAGATAGCACAGTCAGGCGTCTCGAGCTGGTACTAGGGGGTGGCTGATTGTCTCACACTTCTGCAGTGTTGGATCTACGAGTACTTTCCGAGTTTCAGGCCATCTCACTTTGAGCCAGTCGTCGTTGGACTTGATGAGGCTTCGGTTGCAAGATGGTTTGGGCAGCAGGCACCTGGTTCTGTGGTTGAGCCTAGTGTGAGGTTGGCGTTCTACCGTCGAGCTCTTGACAGCTTGACCCCTTCTGATGTGGCATGGGCACCTTTCCATAAGAGGCCTCATCAGGCAGTCCGTCGACCTTTGTACACTGGAGTGATCTGGTTCGCTAATATGAGTGAGTTTTATGATCCAGCCCGTTGCCTCCGACAGTTTGGATACCAACAGATGGTATCACCTACCCTTCGCGACCCTAGCGAGCAGACCCACCAGAGACACCTGGTGGATATGTCATTTGGATTCCTGGGAGTTTCGATGCTGCATGGGATGCTCTGCTATCTCACATGGTTCATATAGACATGTACTCTCAGCCCTGGAGGACGCATCCATACGAGACTCTGATCGACTATCTTGACTGGTTCATGGCTCACTCCCAGCGTAGATGGTGGAAAAAATAAAAAAGTCCTTAGAATCCATCCATCACCACGGTGGTGGATGTGCAACCTCAAGCCAACTGATGCATTGAATGTGAGCTGTTGTACCACCATTATACAAGTTCTCGTACTTCCAGTAATGTTGCTGGATTTCTTGTACAATTGTTGATCTCATGAGTAGATAGTGACTATTGTCCCGATAAGTACAATGAGAAAGTGCCCTAAAACCACAATGGTCCTTTGGACTAGGGTTGAAATGGCCTACCAGCAAAGGCCAAACAAACTCCGGATAAATATGCTCGATCAAAGGTAAGAATATTGCCCTGTGGGGCTCTGGGATGAGTTATCTACAAACATTTACCAAAAGTTAAAAAATACTTGGACAAAATTTACAAACATAAACCAATTACTAATAGATGCACTATAATATGAAAACATTAGAGTTGAAACTCACCTGTATCGTGCTCGTCGGATTCACCTCCACTCGATCGTCCCCTGCCTCCACTCGATCGGGATCTGCCTCCACTCGATCGAGACCTGTCTCCAGTCGAACCGGACCCCGTACTCCTCGAACGAGACCGCGATCTCTCATAATATGAACGAATGCTACTGGTGCTTGTTCAAGGCCACCCTCTCGTATTCTCATTCACCTTCGGTTCCTTCACATTGTCCTCTACTGGGTGAAGCCCATAGAATAGGGCATCTTTTGCTTGTCTCACTACTTCAGGACCTCTCTCTTCCACCTCAATAGTGAGCAGCCTAAAGTGCTGTCATTGAAGTGTTTTATAACCCAAAGTTTGCCAGAATACATGCAACTCTTGAGCATAGAACTGGCGTCCTTCCTCCTTAGCTCGAACAACCTAGAAATCACACTTGAGCACATGTGTCGTTTGAAAATGACACCCGCAACTGTCCACCAACTCCGCCGCCCCATCCAACATAAGTTTGATAGCCTCACAATTGATGACCCTCCTCAAAAAACGTGCACGGAGCCTCAATTGCCCTACTCAGATTGCGGTTAAGTGACTTGTGCAGTTCATTTATCACTTCTAGAAACTGATGTTCCATGTAGTTGTGGTTCTTTGCAAAACAAGTGTCAACCGCTCTTCTACCAGATACAAGAAAAGTCTTGAAGGAAGAGTGAGATGCCTCGACTCTATTCGAGCTCGTTTTACCAAGATGGAACACATGGTTCGTGTAGCATTTGCCCACATTGTCTGCTGAGGCAACCACTCACCTCGCACGTAGTCGACCAGAGCTCAGTTCTTCACTGTCCAGACCCTCTCAAACTCATTAATCTTTCGAAGAAAACCGTCCCTCGTCCAACTCCATGCAGCCTTTTCAAAATGTTTCTTCCATACCGCCTGTGCTACCTCTCTACGTGAAATTTCACCCAGTAATTGCTCAAACTTTTTCTTCACGCAGTTGTTGACGTGTCATAAACATAGCAGGTGGACAGTATGTGGGAGAGGGAAGACCACAGGAACGGAAGCAAGCATACCACCTTCTTTGTCTATCACAATGACATTTGGAACCGTATCACCGAGCAACCCTTTAATACATCGTAGCAGCCACTCATATGCTTCCTTTGTTTCCTTCTTCATAAGTGCACATGCAATGTTGAAATTATTCTTGACTGGAGTAACCCCAATAATCTCTACCCATGGCATGTTGTACTTGTTCGTCTTGTAGGTCGAGTCGATGAGGATGACATACAACCATGCATGCAAGATCTGAATGGAAGTTGAGTGGGCAAAAAACATATTGGTGAGAACATTATTAGCATCCGTTTCCAAACGGATATGGTACCCACGCTGTTCAGCTTCGTGAAGCATAAACTGCATCGCATCCATTTCACCCATCTCATCCAATCCTTCCTTGTAATTTCCGTTGTACATCTGTTTGATATCATGATGCATACTTTCTTGTCACTCTTCCTATGACCCATGTATTTGGACCATGCTCTTGCCATACTTTCTTCATACATATCTGAAACTGGCAACTAGTACCCTTCGAACTAGTATTCCCATGTCTCTCCTTCGTAGGGTCTGGTTTATAGGACTTAATGATCCTACTTCTGTCGCAAAACATACAGAGGGCAGTAACAGGATGTTGTGCTTGAGTATTCAGTTTTCATTCTCCTCTCATATTAAAGAACCCACACTACTGAGCGATTGCTTTTGCAGCATTCTCAGCTAACTCCACACTTGCATAATGGATCCCATTCTCAAATTCATGTGTGTAATCATGACCGCCCAGAAACCACTCTGCCATTTTTCTTACAATTACAATATAACACATCAATATTCCTGTGAACCTAAACGCTAATTTCAAGTCTTAAGCGCTAATTTCAAGTCTTGGCAGCTAAATTCAACTCCTAAACTGTAACATCCCGTTCTGAATAAATTTGTATTTCAGCCGCTAAAGATTTCCCAATTTAAATCGAGTGTTTCAATAATATTTTTAAAAAAATCGAAATATAGATCGATCAGATAAGTATCTATTATTATATCAAATACTGATGACTCGATATTTGCACATGTTTTCCCCTTTGTTTCTTGATCGTTTGAGCTTTAATTATTGGCGTCTTTGGCCTATTTTACGCTAGTTTGTGTTCCTTTGTCACATTTCAGGTCCTAGCACGTAAAGTGAAGCATAGGCGCAAGTTTCAAGTCAATCAGAGATCAATTGGCGATTCGGGAGAAGAAACTCGTGCATGACCTGAAGAAGAATGGATTTATACCTCACTTTATGGACAAAGAATCATGCAAGTTTGTCATGAAAAGAAAGAGGACGAGACTACGAGCGTCTGGGATCAAACGGCGACTGATTCGGAGTCAGGATGAGGGAGAAACGAAGCATTGAATATAGGGAATAGGTTCGGCAGTAAAAACACGGGCGCGCTTAAATCAAAACACGGTCGTGCCCATATTTAGGCACGACCGTGTTTTGGCAGACGCGCGCGGGCGTTTTTTTAACACGGGGCAAAACACGGGCGGGCAAAAGTAAAACACGGTCGTGCCCTCGCCCGTGTTTTGCCCAGAATCGGGTTTTTTAACCCAAATTCGAGCCAAAGGAGAGGGAGAGCTGGGTTTTGGATCCCAAACACCCAAGGGACGAACCAAAGAGAGAGAGGGCGATTTGAGGGCATTCTAACAGTGGAATTGGAGGATTTCTTTGCCTTGGAAGCTCGAGGAACAAGCCCGGACTTGAAGACTGATCATCTGAAGATTCTTACTGCAGTCTCTCTCTTCTCTATGGAGTAACTTCCCTTCACTTAGGTTTTGAGGAACCCTAGCCATGTTTGTTTGATTGGATGATTGTATGAGTACTCCTGCTTGATAATCTTGAGTTCATATTCAATCTATGCATGTTTTCATGATTCAATTCTGCTTTAGTCGAGATTATTGATTCTGCTTTGATCCTATGAGAGCGAATACCTGATTAGGTCAATAGAGCACCATAGATTGATAGTAGTGGATCGATTGCTTTAGTCGAGGGTTGATTCACTGCTTTGTATCGATTGAGAACCTCTTTTGATAGAGGGAGTCTAGTTCAGAACGCCTTGATCGGTTGTTCTAGAAAAGGATACGTCCCTCTTGGCAATTGACTCAAGAAGGCCTTGTTCCTTTAGTCGAGACTCAAGGTCTAGTTAAGGATTCTCCGCATTGTGAATGAAAGTGAAACAGGTTAGAGATCATCAATCATTAATCTGGCTAGTGGCTAGGGGGAATCATACCTAAGTGAGTTCCCAACCTGTAATTAGATTAACTTTAACTGTAGTTTGTTAGAGTAGTTTTAGTTTTTCCATATTAATCTGGTTTGCTAGATAATGAACTGAAGCTGAGTAATAGTAACTCTAGAGACCTGTGGATTCGATATTTATTACTTGAGCCACTATACTGCAGTCCCTTTCATTGGTTACACTTGGCCATTGTTAGGAGTTGTGTCATAGCGAGTCAAATACATATAAATATAAATATATATGGTGGCGTATTCGGTGCACCCGCCTCATAATTGTCATTCTGAGCATGCGATTCATGTCAAAACGGCATCAATTGTTGCTTATAATATGATGAACAAGAAGCACATGAATTTGAAAAAATATCATTCAAAGTTTACTTTAATTCGGAGGATTTAGGATTTAGTGATTTAGGGTTAGGGTTTAGGTTTACAATTTGGAATTTTGGGTTGGGATTCAAAAGTGAAGATTAAGGGGTTAGGGTAATATATTGATTTGGTATGATTCTATGTCATATCATCATATTAGATTGAGAGTACTAATTAAAGTTCAAAATTTGATGTATTATGGATACTTTTAGTAAACTAAAAAAATGAGTGCGCCGAAATAATCAATATATATCAATCATGATATATATCTCTCCATGTATAGGGATGGCAACAAAATCCGAACCCACGGGTACCCACCCGACCCAACCCGGTCAACGCGGGTAAAACCCGTGTTGACGGGTTTTGGGCCGGGTTCGGGTTTAAACCTGCTACACTATTCACCGGGTCGGGTTTGGGTTTAGGTAAACCCGCCCCATGGGTACCCGCCCACACACATATAATTACTTTCACGGTATATTTAATATTCTAAATAATATATCATCTTTAAACAACTAATATTCTTTATGTTTGTGGAGAAATGTATAATTTGTTCTTTCTAATTGTTTAGAATGAAGTTGATATTATGAAGTGGAGAGTGAAGAAACTTAGTTGATGAGGAAGAAGCTTTCAATTAATCTTATTGTTTATAGATGTTTATCTTTAGTTTTGAACAATTTGTATTGATCATTTGCGGTTTGCTTGTATGCTCTAGATTGGTGTTTTTTGTATGAATAATTTGTATGAGAAAGTTGATGTTAAACTTTTATTTTGAGATAAACTTCTTATTGTAAATTTTTTACCACAAAAACCCGC